CACAAATGATCTTGCAATCCAACTCTTGCGCATAACACAAGGCAAAAACATCCTTTCCTCAAAGTTCACTTTGTGAAAAACAAAAAACTCTTTCTGAAAGACAGAATCATTATAACCATAATTTCTGATGATATAAAGTGAACCCACTTCCTCTTCTGGGCACATTTTGGCCAGAACTTGTTGTGGCAAAGGCCGAATGGGTAGAATGGTGTTTCTGGAGGGAGTCCAACAAGGCCGACACAAGCAGCTTGATGAACTGCTCTGTCGAAGCAAAGCACTAATGTGCAGGCTTTGGAGAATTATGATGAGGTTAGCTTTGCGCCCGGTGGAACGCATAATGCCACCAGTATTTGTTTATGCCACTTTGAGTTTTAATAAGAGGGGAATAAGTTAGTGAACGACTATGTGGTGTCGCTGGAAATCAATAAAATAATGTCCAAGTCGGGAAAGTTATGAACAATTGATCACAAAGTTAAAGGTCAAACTTTCAGTGTATTTACGACTTGTGACTACTACTCATAAAACTGAATAAACTCCTTCATCTTTCCTGCCTTTCTTCTTTTCTCCATTCGTTTCCGTACTTTGGAAAAAAACATGCATAGCAGAACACTGCTCCAGAGTGCATTGGACAACTCCCTCCTGACTCCCCCTTCATCTCCTTCTCTGTGGGAAAGCTGAAATGGAGACGTCAGTGCAGCAGAGACGGGGGGGAGCTGCTGTGCTGAGGCTTCACTTACCTGGCAGCACATCTTTATTCTCAGCAGACAGAAGTGAAGCAGTGAGGGGTGTACAGAGGGAAAGTTAAGCAAAACCTAGACAGTGCAAACAAAGACAGAAAGTCAATAGGTTTTACAATTAAAACGGCAAGTTCCCTCGAGCTGTAAAAAAAAGAAGAAAAGAATAACAAAGGATTCTGATCAAAGACAAGCAGGATAGACTCTTTTTTATTGTGGTACAATGATGAATATAAAAAAGTATTCCCCTATTCAGCCTCTGCCTCTCCATTTCTGTATTGCTTTGTTTTTGTTTGTGCAGCTCTGTGAACCCCCCCCCCCTCCCCCCCTCCCCCCCTCCTCATTTCTCTCTGCTGTTGCAGATGCTGGAAAAATAAGCAAGCAGTTTTCTGCCAGTGTGTGAAATTGTTCTTATCTATCTCTGCCATTAGAGAGTGGGTTCTATTATAAAGCTTTGCATTATTCAGTGAGCCTGAGAGACTGATCATTATAGATTTCAGCCCTTTACCTCACCAGCCCCCTGGAGTCCAGCTCAGGCATGTGTAGATCTGACCCTGTGCTCCGAACACTGGAGGAAAACTGTGAGTGGCTCAGCTTTAGACTCTATGTTATACTGTATAGTCAAGTAGAGTTTTCATTTAACTGTGCGTCGCTCAAGAACTATTTTCTGACAACTTTTTTACTTTTACTCCCTGGGTTTAAACAAAACAAAAAAAATCCTCTACTTCCTACAATTTCAATAAATGGCTCGTTATCTTAGCTTTGATTGTTTTGCGATGATTTACTAATTCTTGCATTACTCTGCTGTTTTTCAAAAATGGGACAGAATCTCATTAAAACGATGGTTTCAGGAGTATAAATAAGTGCATGTCATGGATCAGAGATGTAAAAGACTAAACAGATAAGAGAAGGCAACTGTTTCATAGAGAAGAGGAGTCCAGAGGATGTGATGTTCATGACCAACAGGGAATCAACCAACACTGCTGTTATCTCTGTAAATAAATATTATCATACAAATGTGGAATCAGCAGGTGAGGGACGAGATCTATCGTGTATCAAGCCTCTGCTTTCTGATTGTTGTCTGAGTAGAATTAATCAATTGCCTGTCAGAGGGCTTTCCTTATACACATGGCGGAGAGAAAAAAAAAGGCAAACCACTTAGCCCTCATCAGTCACTACAAACAAGCATTTGTGTATAAGTGCAGATAACACTTCAGTTATAGATAATGTCTCACAACTCCAACTCAATTTTTGGGACTTAATGTTGTAACAAACACAAAATAATCAACCCCAAAGTCAATATTTTATCATCTTAGGTAAATTGTTTTTTAAGCATTTGAATCAATATGTCACTGGAACATCCTGTAGAAATGTCCTTCAGAGGGCGACTTTTTGATTTTATGTTGTGAGTACATGAATGAGCCAATACTTTTCAAATTTTACTTCAGTAAAGAATCTGGATGAGATGATGAGATGAGATGAGATTCAACTTTATTGTCATTACACATATACAAGTATAGAGTAACGAAATGAGGTTTGGCATCTCACCAGAAGTGCAAATAAGCAGAAAGTGCAAGAGTCTGTGCTATGTACAGTAATTACAAAATTTACAGATGTAGACAGAAAATGTGAATTATTGGGTATATGTGGATGGATTAATGGGATGCTATAAATATAAATATATTCTTCAGATTATAATATACAGATTAAGGTGCAGTGAGCATGCTATACTAGATTACAGATAATATACAGAATATGGACATATTGTACAGGTCAATAACTTATTCAATTCAATTCAATTTATTTGTATAGCGTCAACTCATAACAAGTGTTATCTCAAGACACTTAACAAAAAGCAGGTAAAAGACCTTACTCTTTGTCTGTTAACATTACAAAAGAGCAGGAAAAAAGACCTTACTCATTGTTATGTTACAAAAGAGCAGGAAAAAAGACCTTACTTATTACTATATTACAAAGACCTGGCCTATCCATCATGAGCAGTTTAGCAAAGCAGCAAAAGTTACAGTGGTAAGAAAAAACTGCCTTATTAAAAGGCAGAAATAGGAATAGAAAAAAGCAGCCAGGCAGCTGATTGACTTTCAAAGTAGTGTTTCTCAGTGTTAAAGCAGAATAAGTGGCAGGCACATGGTGAGAACTAGAGGAAACATGGCTGACCGTAATGCTGCTGCAGCACTTTTTAATAGGAGGGGTAGGAGATGAATACTGAATAGATGTACAGTCGTGTATGAGGCCAGCTGCACACGCTGATTCTGACTTGACTGTATCAGAGGTGGACTGTGTCCCCGTGGGAATCACTGCTCAGCATGATCATCAATATGAAATCATGCACATGAAATGCTTCTTCATTTGCTCCCATTTGTTTAACGAGTTTTGTACTGCTGATGATTATGAATGAAGCATTGCTTGTTCATCTGCAGCTGTCAGACTATGAGCGTTAATGGCGTTAAAGTATTGTTCCGTCTTTCATGTGCATGTGCTGAGATAAGGATTTGTTTCATGTCCGTCTTGGACCCTGGCAATTAGACCTTGCCATTAACCATTTGTTATATCTGCTGCTTATCGCCTTCAGCTTGGCACCTTGCTGATTACAACGTGCTGGATCGATAATTAAACAAATGGAGGAAGACTGCTGGGTCAATTTCCATCCCGTCTTAGCCAGTGGCTCAAGCCAAATCATGCACAACTCTAAAAAAAAAAGAAAACGTTCCTGAAATTCAACTGAGCTAAATTAAAGAACTTGTTAAAAATGTTCAGCTGTGCATTTGTTTCCTGTGTTCTGTTTGATGGCTCCGCTTGAAGCTGCGCTCTGCCAAATTGATTTGACAACGAGGTTGAAGTCATTTGTCTCAGATCAGGCGGAAGCTCTTCAGTTGGCGGGAAACCTGTGACTTTTATAAAACGACTTCATTGTGGGACTAGTGGTGCAATGTTCGATGACTGTGAATATACACTGATACAGGTAGAGGGTAGAATTATGCTGGACATTCAAGTATGTGACAGATTGAATCTTACAGAGAAGCACTTCAAATGAACATATAAGAAGGCACAGGAAGATTAATTATTTTAACTCCTTAAATATTAACACTAACATAGTTTATATAATAATCTGCTACGTTTACTTACAGTCAAGGGGATATTTCATGTATTTTTTATTGTAAACAATTTGGTTAATTTTCCTTTTTTCGTACTTGGTTAAAGTATTTAAGACTTTAAGACTAGAAGGATTTCTACTTTTTGTAAATTGACTAAATAGAAAACAGCTCAACTGTACAATTTTAGAAAAACTGAGCTTGGTTGAAATCAAAAAGAAGCCAAAAATCTTCCTTGTAAAAACCCACCAAGTGGATGTTAAAACATTTTAGGCTTTTCACCTTCTCAACATTCTCTAGTCACGTAGAGATACAGTATGTAAAGTGAACTGATGACTGATACAAATACTGCTTGTTTGAACAGTTTCAAAGGCTTAGAGGAATAAAATAAAATGCCCGGTATTGTTATTAAAGGTCACATATTATACTCCTTTTCAACAAGTTCAATTAATTCTCAGATTTTCCCAAAACACGTCTGTGAAGTTTCTTGCCAAAAGATTTACTCTGATCCTGTATGTTATCATGTCTATAAACCCCTCTATTTCAGGATAAGAGCATAAACAGGAAAGATTTAGTATTACACTGGGTGCACCCTAAAATGTAATGATGATTAAAAAATTATTTTTGAAACTCCAGAAACACTTTACATTTGTTTATTTTACCTCTTTTCCCTTCTTGATGCACCCTGAAAGTAGGTAAAGTTATGATAGAAAAAAACCCTTCTGCTTTTACAGAGTCTGGATAATTTCTGTTTTATTGCCTCTTACTGCATCTTATATCAAATCTAGCTTTAGTTCATTTGAAGTTTAAGTTTGTGTCAAGCTGTTCCCTTACAGCAGTGTGCCATCACTCATCATTTGTTGATCTATGGCAGAGAGCTGGAGAATTTCACTCTCACTGTATCTTATTCATCAAAGTCAGAGCCAGAGGATAGTGATGTTTAATAACCAGCACATTCCTCCCTGTTATCAACACATCACGCTCAGAGCATCTCCATAAGGGTTGTGTGTTTCCTCAGAAATATGGTCTGTACATTACAACAGGTATAAAAACAACGTATAGGATTAACCTGTTGTGCCTTTATTGGAAAGCAACGCTCTGAATCACATGATCTGATGTGATTCACGACTTCGCGCAGGAGAGAGGGAAAGCAGACATGAGGAAGAAGAGGGGGAGGCTGTGTTGGTGGCGGGGAGTGGGGGACTCCGACCGTGGGACACTCTCCTCTGTATGGATGAGTTGGGAAACGACTTATCATTTAAGGTGGAGCGATAATTACGCCACGCTTTGCTGCTGCCACGCACCTATGAAGGGTTTAAAACAAACCCAATTAGTCACAGGTCTATTACAAGAGGATGGTGAAATGTAGTTTATCAGTGGCACGATCCATGACGCAATAGAACAGACCCAACACAGTTATTAAGTATTTGCTGATATTAGTTTACATGAACAATTAGTCATCACTAGCATTTTACCAGATATTTAAAGACAGTGACCCTTGTGGAGTAGGATCTATTTGACTTTATGTGGCCTTATATAAGAGGCTGAAATGATTTGACAAGATTAGATAAGATAAGATAATCCTTTATTTATCCCACAACGGGGAAATTTACATTGTTACAGCAGCAAAGAGCAAAGATTGCAAAAAAAGTGAACACAGTACAATTTAAATAAAATAATAAAAATAGATAATGTACAAAAAATAGATAGATACAACAATATAAACAAAAAAAATAGATTTTTAAAAATAGATCAGCTGAGCTGCAGTTTTGACAAAAATGTAGTCAAAGTCAAAAATGTAATCAAAACTGCAAACTAACATTTTTAACACTTTTTCTTGTTTTACGGTGTGAATACTCTTAAGTCGTGACAGTTTCTTCCTCTGTTGCGTGGTCAAGTATTACCTTCGTCTGTTACTACTTTAGACAGTGTAGGCGCGCTTTACTGTTGTAGAAGACGATCTGTGTAGGTAGTTGTCTTTCCAAACAGCGAGGACGACCTTAAATAAGGGGCAGGACTCAGTACAGCAGAGCCCGCTGCCTCCCCTCAGTGATGCGGTGAATCTGCGCTGCGTTATGTCCGCTATATAAAGTGCTCACAGACGGCAGAGCTCACAGCTTCAGTGGACAGCTCCGTGGTGCTGAAACCTCTCACACTCCACTCTCTGAGCCGCGCTGCACGACTGGAAACATGGAGGGATCCTCGCGGAAACTTTTTCTACTTTCTTGCCTGGTTGTTGTGGGGAGCTCTGCGCAAGACTTCGGACAGACGCAGTTTATTTGCACGTCGGTGCCCAAGGATATGGACTTGTGCACGGCCACAATGCAGAACAGCGGGCCGGCGGAGGACCTGAAGACCACGGTGATGCAGCTGCGAGAGACCGTGCTGCAGCAAAAGGAAACAATAATGAACCAAAAGGAGACAATCAGGGAACTTACGTCCAAGTTGAGCCGCTGCGAGAGCCAGAGCCTCCCGGCGACGGGACCCGGGGGGAGACGGCCGGGGTCAAAGAACACGATGGGGGATGTATCCCGGGGCACAACAGACACTCTGGCCCAGCTGGGTCAGACTTTACAGACCCTGAAACAGAGACTGGAGAATCTAGAGGTAGGCAAGTAGAGAAGGACAGCGGTACGGATCAGTTCAAAAGTTCATTAAATTAGCCTTCCGGGTTATTAAATATAAATTAGGCATAAGCCTCTTATTCACTGCTGAGTATTGGTCTGCTTTTCGCAGCCTCTTCTATTGAGCTTCATGTGTTTAGTTTAAATTCAATTTGTTACTGAAACTAAATCGTAACGACCAATTGTGTTACTGCTGTTAGAATAATGTGACGCGGAGAAAACAAACAGCACGGGTACTTAGGAAGATGCTGGAAGCTTCACACAGAGCAAAGGGAACATGTGTCAGAGAGTTTATCCTCACTCAGAGTGTCCTGCTTTAACCCACTGTCTGTGTCCCTCTGTCCGCTGCAGCAGTACAGCCGAGGAAACAACACCGTGCAGGCGAACAGCCTGAAAGACCTGCTGCAGAACAAGATAGACGACATGGAGAAGCAGGTCCTATCCCGGGTTAACACGTTAGAGGAGACCAAGCCGGGCGCAAGGAACGACACCGACCAGCGGAACAGAGTGGAGTCCACGCTCACCTCTCTGCACCACCGCATCACAGACCTGGAGAAAGGTGCGTTTGGATTTTTAAGCCAAATGAAAAGAGGCTCTACGTGAAGTCTAAACAAGATTAGGAGTTCACTGAATTGTTTTTTGAGCTTTAATGCATTTCAGTCTTGCATTTCAAAAAAACAGAAATATTCAGCAGCTCTCACTTGGAAGGTTTTGGAATGCCGCAACCATCACGTTGCGCACAGATATGAATGAGGGAGGAGAGGAAAGCTGCATTGCTTTGCATATCTCAAGACCTGTTTGCACTTTTCCTCGCTCAGTTATTGTTTTTTTTTATGAGCGAAAACCCTGACTGTTTAACGTGCACACGAGTACCAAAACAGAGGGAAATATGTCCGTAGAGGAACTTTGCAGGTTGCGCCTCGCACCGGCTGCTTTCAAAGGCATTTGCAGCTTTTTTTTACGTGTGCAAATGTGTTGTTTTTAAGAGGGAGAGAAATGGAGGATACGGAGCCACAGACAACAGAGAAAAAAACACTCGCAAAAAAACTAGAGCAGAATCTCCAGCAATGCATTTTTTATATTAATTTAAGAAGACGCATATATAAATCACAAATCTTATTTATGGGTCAATGTATGTTAAAGTATACTTGAGTTATGAGGGTAGACATTAAAGTTATTCTCCTAAAACTTGAGGAAAATTCTATAAGTATAATCTATGTATGAAAAATGTCTCAATTTCAATATATCTTACATTCTTGTTTAGGTAAGGAAACCAGGCCGACAGACAAATTCCAGCTCACCTTCCCCCTGAGAACCAACTACATGTATGCCAAAGCCAAGAGGAGCCTTCCTGAGATGTACTCCTTCAGCGTGTGTCTGTGGATCAAGTCCAACGCCTCTCCTGGGGTGGGGACGCCCTTCTCCTATGCTGTCCCAGGTCAGGCCAACGAGCTGGTGCTGATCGAGTGGGGCAACAACCCCATGGAGATTCTCATCAATGACAAGGTAACTTCAAACTGTTAACACACAAGTCTTACCTTTTGCATGGCTTTTACAAAAGTACTGCAATTACTGAGTACTTTTTTTAATATTCAGAATGTAATTGCACCTTAGAAAGGGTGCAAGAAAAGGAAAACGTTAATGTAGTCATCTTTGTGCTTGGATGAGTCACCTGACATTTTTTTAGTTCCAAACCTGGAATTTGGAAAGAAAAACATGTTTTTATAGAAGGACAGATATGTGATAGAGGGGAAGTTATTTTACTAGAGAAAGGGAAAAATAAGGTGTGGAAGTTTACTGACTCCTCCTCCTGAAGTGTGAAAGAAAGATTGTTCACCAGAGAGAGAGAGAGAGACGTGTCTAATTTAAAATCTCTTCCACAAGGTGGCAAAGCTGCCGTTCCTCATCAATGACGGGAAATGGCATCACTTATGCATCACATGGACCACCCGTGACGGGATGTGGGAAGCCTTCCAGGACGGAGTGATGCGGGGCAGCGGGGAGAATCTGGCACCCTACCACCCCATCAAACCAGACGGAGTGCTGGTCCTGGGACAAGAGCAGGTGGAGATTTTTTCATTTTCAGATCAGTGATTTTTTAAATTCGGCATGTGTGAGGCTTTAATTGCCTCACACATTTTGGAAATAATCCCGACACAGTTATGCATTTCATTTTGGTCAAAGATTAAAGGCTTGAATATTTATGAAATGAGATTGTAGAAACATTTTGAAGAGGTAGATAATTAATACTTTCAGCTCACATTAGTGTGTAATGTATCATCCCTTCACTGGGATAACAGTCCTTTATTAAACTGGCCTGAATCATTTCATTGTATTAACAGAGAAAATGAGTTCTCTCACAGACAAAGATGTGCCCATTATGAAGTTTACTTGCAACAATTATAGGATGAAATGACTAACCTATGAAAACATAGTCAATGAAAACTTTCTTTCAAACATTTTTAGTCAGTTTTATTAAAGGAAATGATCATACTCATGGTGGTTCCATCTTATAAACCAAGAAGATTTGCTGCTTGTTTTAGTCATTTTTTGAAAAAAGCAGACAAGTTTGGTAATTTGAATAAATCACGTTGGAAAATTTGTCTGAAAATGGATTTGCACATTTGCCTATAATCATTAGTTGCAGCCTCACTATTGAACAACTGTTTCATACTCATACATACATGTAAAATAAATCCTGATGTTTACACTAAGTGAATGACCTACAGACTGGAGTTAATCAAAAGAAAGGAAACTTTAAATCCAAGGTTAATGTGTAAATTTGAACAAAGGCAGGTAAACAGGTTCAGACCTAAAGCCATAAATGAGGTCAAACGTCATTTTACTGGATGTGCCTTACAACATAATCCTGTCATGTATGTCCTTGTACATAAATCCATAACAATTGACAAACCCTGGTTATTTGAGCCTTCTCTTATTCTGCTGACAATGTATGCTCTGAAATACTTTGAGAACTCATGGTTACATCTGTCTGCTCCCCAGGACTCGTTGGGAGGAGGCTTCGACGCGACACAAGCATATGTTGGAGAGTTAGCAAACTTAAATATCTGGAGTAAGAAACTTTCCATTGCAGAGATCTACAACTTGGCGACCTGCAACAGCAAAGCACCGGCTGGCAACGTCTTCTCCTGGACGGAGAGCAACATTGAAATATTTGGCGGAGCGACCAAATGGACATTTGAGCCCTGCCGTTCCCACAACTGAACTGCATAAAAGAGAGGCCTCTCTGTATTTCTGAGCTTTTGTCGTTCTTGTCTTCATTTGACGTTCGTTAGAGACTATTTGAGTTATTGGTAAGCTTCAATCTGGGGATTTCTATCATTCTTAGGTATTTCTGTGCAAAACAACACTTTCCATCTTGAGGAGAAAAAAAAATTGTCTTGGAAAACCTCAGTGAGAAAGTATTGGGTATCCGGTTCTCCTTCTATTTTTTTCTTGGATGTTCAGTTGAAAGCACACCAAAGCTTTCGTTTGGCTTTCCTTGTCTTGGACTGGCAACTGGCAATCTGCGCCTTATGTTCGGACAATTCACAATCCAAGGGAGGAATTACATAACCATTCCCACACCCCTTCCCCTTCCGGAGTGGGAGATTATGCTGTCCATCCAATTCTTGTCAGTGTTTGGCTCTGTGAAATGATGTCTGACGTGGTACAGCTCCCTGCCACCACCCTCCTGCCTCCCCACCAACACAAACAAACACACACACACACATCACCCCCCCCCCCAACCCCCCCACCCCACCCCTCCGGAACTTGCACTGTGACTGACAAAGAGATCGCCAGGAGAGGAGGGTACATTGAAGGACACTGCAAAGTCAGACTGTGGTACAAGTCAATTTGTAATCGTCGTTTGCTTCAAGTGTTTTCTGTAAGAATGTCGTTAACTTGCCAACATTGCTACAAAGCCTGGGTGCCTTGGGCTGGTACAAACATTCAGCACATTCAGTATGTTATAAGTTGCAATTTCAATGTTTCTTGGGTTTCTTGTTTTCTTTCCTGAGCTGGGTTGAGTTTCTTGTTTCTCTGGTAAATGTACTTTAATTCCAGTTTGTTATCTGACATGATGTGTTTCGGCAGGTGTTTGTACTACTCTGTATTAGGAATGTTACAGTATTTGTATAGTAACAGCATGAATGACAGAGTGCTGTGGAAGCATTGTTGAAATCTGCTTTAATATCTTCTCTGGGTCCGGGTTTTTTACTGTATTGTTATATGCTCCAAGCATGGCAAAACTGAGAGATGAAGAATTTAATTTTTGTAATAAAATTGTGATACTTAATGTCACAGTGCATTCTTGCTTTCGGCTATGTGCAAGGTGGGAAGAGTGAACGTTGTCTGCAGGAGAAAACACCTCTGGTCATATGGGACATTTTTCACCTTGAGAGGAAGCAAACTGACAGATATGTCAAAGTTACAAAGTCAGTGAAGGTCACACAGAGAGACAAAGTGAAACTGTGACCTTGGTTGTGACTGACTGCAGCCATAACCCACTCATGGTTCTGTTGTTGCTGCTGTGAGATGCCATGCTTGCACTAAAGACAGCCAGGCTGTTCAGGGAGAAAAGTGCACCGTCATATAAGCGGCCTGGTTTAAGTGAGTGCAGCCGGACCTACAAACGAAGGCACTTATCATCGATGTACTCAGAAGACCTGTTGCTGTAGCATCAAACATTTGCATAAAAGAGATGTGACTGTGTACACTTCCTGCATCTAAATCAGACACTTAACCGTGTACTTGAACATTAAGTGGGGAAAGCACTGCATCAGAATAATAGGATTTGTTAGATGACACATTTGGGAAAAGCTCACAGTGTCAAAATATTGTTTTCAACAATAAGTCAACTTTTTGATCCTAAATTCAGTTTTGTTACATAATAATATTTTATCTAAAAATAGAGTTCTTAATGTCCTGCACATTAACTAGGGGCTCACAGAACTATTATTACAAACTTTTCCTGCCCTTCAACTTCAGCTGACACTGAGGAGTTTGGTTTAAATTGATTTACATCAATTAAAATCTGACATTTAAAATGCTAGCGCTGACATTTCAACTTCTATCAGCGTATAGAACAAATCATGTTAGTTTTCAATTTCTTCCAAAGTAGATACAGTGAGTACATCAGGATTGGAAGGTAACAAAGGTCCATAAATTGTGTTTAAATGCTTATATTGAACCTTACACTAACAAGTGAAAATGTCAACAAACATGTTATTGGAATTATAGCATTATCTCCCATGAAGATCTATTTTTACCTCCAGCAGTTATCCATCCAAAAGCTCCTTTTGTTGTTGTTGTTGTTGTTGTTTAACTACCAGTTACCACTACAGCTGTCACTGTAACAAACAAACAAACAAACAAACAAACAGACAATCAAACACATACAGGCGATTAAAGTGCACACCCATCAATACACTTTAGTGAACTTCAGCAGAATTGTCAAATTATCAAAATGTTTGTGTTTTAACGACTTCTGTATTTTACTCATGAAATCGCTTCAACTGCTTTGACGACTTAAACTTCAACCATTCCAACGTTTTCAGCCTCGACACCTGACTAAATACTGGATGTTTTTAGAAAAAGTTATGCCATCTACCAAACACGTTGCATTAAGTATTAGGTCCTTGCAGAGGACTATGTCCTGTTCTTAAGCCTGATGTGGAAGCGGATATCATTTGGCTAAGAGAGAATCTGCGTCACCTTAATCTCCTAAGATGCACAGCAGAAAGCAGCCAGGGTCAAGAGTCTTTGACATGAATGACAACAAACAAACACACACAGGGCTGATTATTCTGTCCCATAGCCATGTTAGCAGATTGATCCTAAAACAGAGAGGTTTATCAGCCAATTACATTTACAGAAAATATCAATTGTAGAAGAACTCCCAACCATATTTAGGACATCAACAAGTGCACGCTGAAATCGTTTAAATTAAAAGGAGGGTCATGTTTCTGAAGCTATAATAACAAACTCAACTGTTTCAATCCAAACTATTTTGAATAAGCACAAAGTAAAGAAAACGTAAAAAAACTACCAGAGCAGCAGGTTGTGTTATAAGATGAGTGAAAACTGTCTTAGGTTTTAGGGGGTCATATGACGCCACACACATCGCCCATCAATGGGCCCACAGTCATAATCACCAGGTCTGCTTACTACCCTCATCTGATACTCCGTCAGGATAATGCTGCTAAGCCCTGGCTGACAGATTGCTACAACATGATTGCATTTGAGCTCCAGACACTATTTGTGCAGAATCTAACATGCACAAAAATAGATCCAGGAGGCCTAAAGGATGATCGTAAGCCTTGATTGTGTAAGACACATAGATCAGGTCCACTCTTAAAAACCAACAGTACCAGCAGTGACACCTGCTTTGAAGAATAAAACATGGTTTCTTAATGCAGATATAAGAGCTAAGAAAAGAACATGGAGAGAAACTTCTGAAAGCTTGTTAGGTGCACAGTACATTTATATAATGTTTGCTGGGAGAGCATAATATTGTAGGACATCTCCTCACCTGGCAATGTAAACAGATGCTATATTCATGTTGTAGACAAAGAGGAGGTGTCCTACTTTATTTATTTTTTTAGACCTCATCTAATTTATTCTGGGAAAGTAAAAAAAAAAATAACAGTCTGCAGCCCGCTCTGTGAGAATGTACTTCTGCAAAGTCATGCTTGAAGCCAAATCCTAACATACATTCACAAATCTATCAAGTATGTTAATGTGTGGCAAGTATAAAGTTAACCATTTACAACCTAAGGTTATATGAATAAAACAAAAGTCACTGCTGTGGCTTACCGACACGTCATTATTTTTCAAGTTAATTACTCATTACAATAGAAAAAACACATTTCTATCAGCAGAGACTTAATTATGAGTGAACAATTATCTAATTTACAAGTTTGCCAATTTTCATACACTGGAAGGGGTAGTGATTGTGACGGATATCCCCCTGATGGAGCCTAGACAGACATCACACATGTTCCCTGTACGTGTTGATCTCCCTTGTCTTTGAGTTTGTTTGTGATTTTCTTGGACAGAATCTCAAGGCGCAGCCTTTGAGAGGAGGCTTTCCAGTTTGGGGACCTCAGTGTTGTATCTCTGCTTTTTGCAGATGACGTTGTTCTGTAGGCTTGTTCATGCTTGGACCTCCAACAGGCATTGGGGCGGTTTGCAGCCGAGTACAAAGTGGGTTGGGATGAGGGTCAGCACCTCCAAGTCCGAGGCCATGGTTCTCTGTTGGAAAACGGAGGACTGCTGGGGGGGGTCTCTGCCTCAGGCGAAGGAGTTCAAGTATCTCAGAGTCTTGTTCATGAGTGAGTGTAAAATGGATGGCGAGAATGACAGGCGGATTGGTGGGGCAGTCGCAGTATTGGAGGCACTGTGGTGAACCATCCTGATGAAGAGGGAGCTAAGCAAGAAGTCTAAGCTCATGATTTACCAGAAAATCAATTCAAATTCCAACCCTCACCTATGGTCATGTGCTGTGGGTAGTGACCGAAAGAATGAGATCGCCAATACAAGTGGTCTAAATTAGTTTACTCAGAAGGGTGGCTGTGCCCGGCCTTAGAGATAGGGTAGAGCCGCTGCTCCTTCGCATCGAAAGGGGCCAGCTGAGGTGGCCTCCCTCGAGAGGTTTTTTGGGCGCGTTCAACCGGGAGGAGACCCAAGGGTAGACCCAGAGCTCGCTGGAGGGATTACATATCCCTTCTGGCCTGGGAACACTTTGGGATCGCCCAGGAGGAGCTGGAAAACGATAATGGATGGATGGAGTCTAGACACTGGTGGAGGTGGTGAAAGAAGTATGCAGGATGTGATGAGGAGTGGTCTCCTCAAGAGCTGGACATGGACACTGTAGAGATGTACTGGAGGTGACTTGGGTGGAGGAGGGTCAAAGTGATTAAATTGTAACAAAAAGGTGACAGCAAATGATCGGAGAATGGATCTGAAGCAGGATGATTGGCTGACAGAGGTCGTGTTGGAATCTGGTTGGCTAAGTACTCAGCTGAGCAGGAAGAGGGAGAGGTAGAGAGGGAGTGACATGAATGAAGGATGAATAATGAACAAATGTTTGAATGGCTCTGAAACAATCTTCCTGCTTGAATTTACGCTGCACTTCATTTCAATCTGATGATTGTCCAATTTGAAAAAACTATGGCTTGAAGTGATTACAAATTCTCCTTTTTTGGTGCCATGAACATCTTTAACAGACTCACTCGCTATCCACCCAGTAATTGTTGATAATTTTCATAAAATTATCAATCATTTTGAAGGAAGTCTATGACATCCCTAGTACCTTGCAGCTAACATGGCTAGAGACTGTTATTCAGGTTAAAAGGAGTGGACTCATTTGGTATTCATACATGTGGTGGTTATCAGAGCTGTGTTTAAAAGTTCTCTAATTTGAGGTACTTTACTTCCTTCTGAGAGTAAGAAGATCAATAACTCCCTAAGGTGAGTTCTAGCTATCACTCCATATACAAAAGGAAAGTGTTCACTCGATCTAAATGGTAAATGGTAAATGGACTTGAGCTTATATAGCTCTTTTCTAGTCTTATGACTACTCAAAACCTCTTTGACACCACAGATCACACCTACACATTCACACACTGATGGCAGATGCTGCTATGTAGTGAGACCATCAGAAGTAATTAATCCCATTCATACGCATTCAAACGCCGCTGACAAAGCAGCAGGAGCAATTCAGGGTTAAGTGTCTTGCCCAAGAA